TTCGGCAACCAGGTTACCGGGGTTTTTTTTTACCTCTGTTTTTTTTTTTGGGCGGTAACCATAATGGTGGTCGAGTAGATCATGTTGTGCGGGGTCGAGAACCCTCACTCCGCGCAAGGGGGATGATCGCACCACGTTGTGTTAAAACGGTCAAGCACCACGAGGCAGTCACACAGTGCTCACAACTGTTTCAGGAAGTGAAAGCACCAGAAATTAACGAAGTCATGCGCAGCTGCCATCCCTACGCAAGGAAGTGAGCACAAGATGCCGAACACCGTTAGCAGGATGCAGNCCGGTGAGAACCCGGCGTGCTCCGCCCTGGCTTTGTAGGGATGCGAGGTCAATGGTCTAACGACTACGGCATGCACGACTATGAGTACACCCCCCCGTCGTCGTCTCATCGCACCACTTCCCCAGGTACCTATTTTTGTGTCACCGACGTGTTTTCGCCGACGTTTCTTCTTTTTCGTGACGCTTGACACACCATCAACTGACTGACGGCAATTTTCGCTACACACTCCGCTGCTGCTGCTGCTGCTGCTGCTGCCGCTTCACGCCTGTCGCTTTTGTGGTGAATCGAAAATGAAACTGGCCTCTGGGCCTACCCCGGGAAACTTCGATTTCACCACTCTCGCCATGTCTCGTCCCTTGGCTCTTGGCTTTTCAGTGGGCGAAGGTGACGATTGTGACATGTATACTTCTATATTATAGCCCGGCTGCTGCGCGGTGGTTCGATGGCCCTTTTTTCTAATTCACGTTTTTCGCTCGTTCCCGTGAGATGGTGGGTTGCTACTGCTGTTTGTAATTTGTTGTTGGTAGTGTTGTCGATGATGCGATGCTATGGGATGCAATGTGATGCCATGTGATGCGATTCCACGTGATGCTGCAGATCCAAGAAGCGCTGGGGGCTGGGCAGGAGGTGTTCGAGCTTTTGGAAAGGGAGCCTATCATGACCGGCCAAGCCAAGACGGAAGAAATACATTCCTCGGACCATTCCTCATCCTCAACTCTTCCGCGGCATGACTCCACCGTGGTGAGGTTGGTGGAAGTATGGAGAGGAAAATTGGGTGTCCAGGTGTCATTTTGACTAGATGAGGATGAGATTGCATACGGAACTCTCGAAGATTGACCTGGAATCAACTATCGCCCTCGAAAATTGACGTCGATCGTGGAAGTCGACTGCAGACATTATCGAGCATGGGCGTCTGACTCCAGAATCGAAAATATCTTGCAAACTTATCCACGCACCTCCACCAAGCGCAAGCGTCAGTCGTCCCGGAAAGCATTTACTGTTCCGCGCTTTATCTCTTGTTCTCTCCCCCCCCCCCCCCCCCCTCTCTCGTCTTCTCACCTGCAAACCAGTCGTATGTTGTCATTTAGTGTTTATCGCTGGATTGCGTGCCCTTGATGACTACACCAGACTGCACCACATGTCTCGCGTAGTGCGGCGGTCTCGTTTTAGTATGGTATACTTTTATAGTATTCCGCTGTTTTCGATATGGTTAGTGGTTAGTGGCTAGTGGCGTATGTTTTGGTGCTGTATGGTTAGGGTTACCCTGACCCTAACCCTAACCCTAACCCTAACCTTCATTTGTCTACGGTGCTGCCTGCTGCTTCTAGTGGCTGCGAGGTTGTGATCGTGTGGAACCCCTCTATGTCTCTCTCCCTCGCTCGCTGCATGATTGCATGATCTATCTAGATGGAAGAAGACGCGCCGCCTTTGACAAATAGCGTCGGCAGCAAAGGGGGCGGGGACGCCGACATGCCATCTCCGAATTTGCAGCAGCAGCAGCAGCAGCAGCAGCAGGCGACGCCTGCGCACGCCGGGAACGAGCGGCAGCGGCAGCGACAGCGAGGGAGGGTGGACTTTAATTGTGTGTCGTTCGGGTACCCGACACGCTCAGGTGCGCGCTACGTCTCGTCTTCCTCAAAACAAATTGTGTTTCAAGAACACAGGCTGAGACTTTGGTCTGTTGAGTTTTGGTTGGTTGACTTGTTTCCCCTTTTTCGGAATGTTATCAGCGGACATGTGTTCGAAAAATCTCTCGCGGACGGTGCAGGCAGACCATGCTGCTGCTGTTGTCGTTGTTGCTGCTGCCGTCTTCACGCGATACCATTTCCATACCTTCTCCGTAGCTTCTGTCATCGTACTGTACGTACCGGTCCAACTGACACGGATGTCTGCCGTGGTGACACGCGGAACTACCCAGAAAAGGGCATGGTAATGGTACACTCTAAGAAAAGATCTTTCTATTGTGACTCTACTACCATACGCATGAACACTCACTACATTTTTGCTTTCTTGAGATTCTCCGCAAGCAAGTCGAATCCAACAAGATGCACACCATGGCACCCCCGCTTGTATGTTGGTCGTCACTATCCTCCCTACGCAGGGGTTCTCGTTTTGGACGGTCTGAGCCTTACCGTAAGACCCGGGGAGAAGGTGGCTGTCGTGGGCTCGTCGGGGGGAGGGAAGTCGACAATCCTGCGGCTCATCTGCAGGTGAAACCGCCACCATCGAGGACGTTGAAGAAATGACAAGGATGATACTGTAGCATTCTACATCGAAGACTTTCCAGATGCCAGTGTCGCGGTTACAGTGCTGTCCCCGCTGTTGTTGTTAGTGGTGGTGGTGCTCGTGGGCCTCGCCTCCAGGAGAAACTGCAGTCAAGGACATCGGAGAATGGATAAGGTTTCCCCCTACCGGTCCCTGCCGACAAGCCCTACTCTTTTTGAGTAGTCCAACCAGCATCATATTGCCAAATTCCCGTGCGACCAAGAGGTGTCAAAATCAATACACGACACATCTCGACACGAGATTACCATACCTGCTACTGTGCCGACATTTTTCTTTTTCATGATACTCCGTACTATTGAATTGAAAAGACACTACACTACACGACACGATGTGGCAGGTTTTATGACCCGCAGGGAGGCAGCATTCTGTTGGGGGGGAGGGATTTGTCCTCGTACAATCCGGCGGACATCAGCAACGTTGTGTCCTGGGTAACACAGGAGCCGCAGCTCTTTCCGATATCAGGTGCGCTCCCCCTTGTCATCGCTGTTGTTGTTGAGATCCCCTGTAGTTTGTTCTAAGCCCACCGCTTAGTCATTACGCAACCCTCCTTCACAGTATTTTGCTGCTGTCACAGCTCCCTTTCCCTCGTTGACCCCGTGAGGGTTTTTTGCCGTGATTTACTTTCCATTCTCATGACCTGCCCTTGGAGGTTTCCTCGTGACTGTTCTTTGTCCCGAAGCCCATTCTCCCTTGGTGCAATGTCCAGAATTTCGTCTTGCCAATGACTCCCCATTTTGCACCGTTCGTGGGCTTCAATGTACCAGACGGTGCTGTATACGTTTTTGATTGTTTTCCTCTGTTTTTGGCAAGACTAGATGCATGATACTTGGGCACGATGCCATTGTCTTAACTTCGTTTTAACTTCGTTATTGTCCCTCCCGCCGTCCCAATTGCGTCGTGCGTGCTCCCCTACTTGGCTTGGGCTCGACTTACTGACGAACGTGGTTTGTTTCATCCCGTCAGTGAGAGAAAACATCGCCTACGGAATGGGGTCTTACAGCATGGAGGATGTTTATAAGGCTGCTAAATCGGCCAATATACACAAGTGAGGGGAAATGCACGAGTCCTTGTTTCCCTGCCCGCATCGATACAATAGGCTTAAGAAGTGAGGGTGCCAGCAACGAAACCTAAACCGTTTTATACATCGCGATGCCGAATTCAGCGAGTGATATAGGAATGGATCGGTGTGCACTAATCGAACTTTCCATTCTTTCAATACTCTTGGCGGTACCATTTTTTGCAGCGTGATTGTGACAAAAAAAATGTAACTCAAGTTATAATTGCAAGATACGAAAATTTCTCGTGTGTTTGCGAATTCGAAGGACTCAGGTGCTGGTGTTAAGTCTGAAGCGTTTCGCTTCTCGAGTTCGTTGAGTACTGTGGTAGGCTAACGCATGCCGCAGGTTGAGGGGCTTACCTCGTGCGCATGTAGTACATGCTGGGAGGAAGAATTATGATAGCATTTCGCATGGGAACAGGCAACTACAATATAGAAACATGGTTTCAACCCTAGCCTAGTACAAGTACTACTTACGTCTTGATATGACATTGTGACTGTGCTGTTGAAAACATGTTCGGCCAAGCATCTTCATCCAAGCTCAGTGACTACTTTTACTTCCCACCCGATCGCACTTTTCGCATCACGTACGATAAACGTTCCACTTGTTTCTCGATTTCACACCTCCCTGCTCCTCCCCCCGCCCTCGGCCCTCTTTCGCTTGCTCTTGTGCGTGCGTGGAACGGCTCTCTCTCTCTCTCTCTCTCTCTCTCTCTCTCTCTCTCTCTCTCTC